GCACTCTTCAGCCACCTCTCCAGGACCATGTGTGCCTACATGCTGTCATGCTCGCCACCTTGATGATAATGGACTAAACCTCTGAAATGTAAGTTGTAACATGAAATAATTAAAGACCCAGAGTCTGATATTTGGGTTCAGGCTTCAAGCAGAATATCAGAAAAGCAAAGCAGCTGGCCACTAGCTTCTTATCTCTACCCAGGCTGAATGGGTTGGTCCTGTTTCCATGAACTCTCACTAATCCTCAGGCTGTGTAACCTTTTCTCAGCTTGGCTGGAGAATGAATGCCTCTCTGATTTCTTTTGTTCTATTTCTAATATGAATAGAGAAAGTTGGGGCAAAAGAGAGGATTATGAGCTGGTGATATTGTCTGTGGAATTTTTGCAAATCACTTTCATTATGTTTTGGTATGTCCTCTGTATCCTTAGTCTCTCCTGGACTTTTATCCTGAAAGCATGTTGGATTTTATCAAAGCCTCTTCATCTAATGAGATGATTATGTAGTTTTTCTTGAGTTTGTTCAGTGTGTTCTATTCCATTTTTCAATTTATTTATTTTTCTCTCTTTTTTAAAATTTAAATTAGAGACCATCTTGTTTTACCTATCAATCTCAGTTCGCTCTCCCTCCCATCCTCCCATGTCCCCCACTGACCTCCCATCCCATACCTTTTCTTCTCCCCAGGGAGGGTGAGGTCTTCCATGGGGGATCATCAAAGTCTGTCACATCATTTGCAGCAGGGCCTAGGCCCTCCCCCATGTGTCTAGGCTGAGAGAGTTTCCCTGTATGTGGAATAGGCTCCCAAAGTTCATTTGTGCACTAGAGATACCATTTATCAATTTATGTAGGTTGGACCATCTATGCATCTCTAGGATTAAGTCTACTTGGTCATGGTAGGTAATCTTTTAATGTATTTTTGTATTCAGTTTGCAAGTATTTTGAGAAATTTTGGGTTTATGTTCATAAGGAAAAATGGACTGTAACTTGCTTTCTTTGTTGAGTAATTGTTGCCTCATCAAAAGAATTAGGCCATGATCCTTCAATTTCTATTTTGTGGAATAATTTGAGGGGTACTGATGCTTATTCGTCTTTGAAGGTCTGGTTGAGTTCTATGTTGAAACCATCTGGCCCTGGGCTGTTTTGGGTTGGGAAATTTTTAGTTGCTGCTTCTGTATTACTAGTGTTATAGATATGTTTAAATTGTCTGATCTTGATTTAACTTTGGCAAGTGGTATGTATCAAGAAAATTATCCATTTCTTTTAAATTTCCTAGTTAGGAGGAATATTGATTTTTAAAGTATCTCCTTATGACTCTAGGGATTTCCTTGGTGTCTATTATGATGGCCCCTTTTTGTCTCTAACTTTATTAATTTGAATCTTCTATTCCTTTCTGTTTAGTTTGTTAAGGGTTAATTAAGCAAGCTTAATGATTTTCTCGAAGGACCATATCTTTGATTCTTTACAATTTTTTGTTTCTATTTTATTGATTTCACCCCTGAGTTTTATTATTTCTTTCCATCTACTCCTTTTAGATGTTATTTTGTTGTTGTTGTTGTTCTAGAGCTTTCAGATGCGTTATTAAGTTGCTAATATGAGATCACTCCAATATTTTTAATGTGGGCACTTAGTGCTTTGAACTTACCTCAGACCTTCCTTCATGTGTCCCAGAGGTTTGAATTTGTTGTATTTTCATTTTAATTCAATCTGAAAAAAAATTTAATTTCCTTCTTAATTTCTGTCTTGACACATTTTCAACTCAGCAGTGAGTTGTTTAGTTTCCATGAGTCTGTATACTTTCTGTTGTTGTTGGTATCCAGCTTTAATCTATAATGGTTATTCAGTTTTCTTCTGTGTTGAGATTTGCTTTGTGTCCAAGTGTATGGTCAGTTTTGTAGAAAGTTCCATGATTTTCAGAGAAGAAGGTATCTTCTTTTGTGTTTGGGTGAAATATTCTGTAAATATCTATCATGTCTATTTGTTTTATAGCATCAGTTATCTCCATTTCCCTGTTTATTTTTGGTCTGGACGGCCTGTCCATTAATGAGAGTGGGTTATTAAAAGTTACCCTCTATCCTGCTGTGAGGGTCAATATGTGATTTAGCTGTAGTAGTGTTTCTTTTATGAACTTGTGTGCCTTAGTGTTTAGTGTATAAATGTTTAGAATTGTACTTACCTGTTGGTGGATTTTTTCCCTTGATGAATATGTATTATCTTTCCCTATCTCTTCTAAATAGATTTACCTTAATGTTTTGCCAGATATTAAAATGGCAAGTGCTACTTGCTTCTTGGTTCTATGTTTTTGAATATATTTTTCCATTCTGTCATTCTAAGGTGATGTGTGTGTTTGATGGTAAGGGTTTTTTTTTTTTTTTTTTCTGGATGAAGGAAAAGGATGGCTCTTGTTTCCAAATTCAGTATCTTTTACTGGGGAATTGAGACCCTTGATGTTGAGAATCATAAGAAGTATTTGTTAATTTTCATCATTTTGTTGTGGGGTGTGTGTGTGTGTGTGTGTGTGTGTGTGTGTGTGTGTGTGTTCTCTTGCTTGTATGATATTATTTTCTTGACTATGGAAATTTTCAGGTGCAAGTTTTACTTCTACTTTATGAAGTGATGGATTTGAATATACATATTTCTTAAATATATACATCCTACTTAAATTTGGTTTTATCATGGAATGTCTTTCTTTTTCCATCTATTATGTTTGCAAATTTTGTGGGTATAGTTGTCTGGACTGGTATCTGTGGTCTCAGAGTTTGTAGAACATCTGTCCAGGCTCTTCTGGCTTTTAGAGTCTCTATTGAGAAGTCAGGTGTTATTCTAATAGATCTGCTTTTATAAGTTACTTGTTTTTTCCTCTCCTGCTTTCAGTGTTTTTTTTGTTGTTGTTGTTGTTGTTTTTGTTTTGTTTTTTTTTTAATGTTCAGTGTTATTGGGAATGTCTTTTCTGTTCCATTCTATTTGGTGTTCTGTATACTTATACATAGATAGGCACCTCCTCCTTTAGGTCAGGGGAATTTTCTTTTATGATTTTGTTGAAAATGTTTTATGTACCTTTGACATGGGTTTTCTCTCCTTTCTGTATTCATTTTATTTGTAGATTTAGTCTTTTCACAGTGCCCAAGATTGCCTGCGTAATCTGTGTCTGGAATATTTCAGAGTTAACATATTATTTGACTGAAGTATCCATTTCGTTTACTATAGCCTCTATGTCTGAAGTCTGTATTGTCTTGCACTCTGTTAGTGAGGCTTACCTCTAAGGTTTTTGATTTACTAATTTTTTTTTCAGTTAGTCTCAATTTGGATTTTCTTTAGTGATTTTGGTTCTACTTTCATGTCTTGAACTGTTGTTTTCACAGACTTAATTATGGGATTTATTTATAGCCTCTTTATGGTTCTTGAACATACTCATAATTGCTGCTTTGCAGTCTTTGTCTTATACTCCAACCTTATTGCATATCTCTGTGCCTACTGTAGTAGACTTTGTGGGTTCTTTCTGTTAGAGGCATGGTCTTAACTCTTGATGTTTGTGTTTTTGCATTAGTGTCTAGACATCTGGAGTTAGGATGACTGTGGTAATTCTAGGTATTTGTCTTAGGGTTTCCATTGTTATGAAACACCGTGACCAAAGCAACTTGGGGAGGAAAGGATTTACTTAGCTTGTACTTCTATATCATTATTCATCACTAAAGGAAGTCAGAACAGGAACCCAAACAGGACAGGAACTATAAAGGAGTAGCTGATGCAGAAGCTATGGAATAGTGGTGCTTATTGGCTTGCTCAGCCTACTTTCTTATAGAACCCCAGGGAAGGCACTGTTCACAGTGGGCTGAGCCCTCCATTGTTAATCACTAATTAAGAAAATGTTCTATGCCTGGGTCTTATGGAAGCATTTTCTCAATTGAGAAACCTCAATTGAGGTTTCCTCCATTCAGGTAATTCTAGCTTGTGTCAAGTTGATGTAATACTAGCCAGCACCACGTTGATATCTCTTCTTGGCTTTGCTCCATGGATGTTTCTTTCTTTGGTTTCTGTTGTGCTCTCTGGATATTAGGAAAGTGTGTTGCCTGGTAGAGAGTGCTGCATGTCAGTGGGTGGAAGATAAATACAGATGTATGCTAGGAGAAAAGGCTGTGAGGGGGCTTCAGAAAGAACAAATGGAATCCTTTCCACACCAACAGGTGGTGTCTCCAGGAAGTTGGAGGTGTGGTGGGAAAGGGAGATCCTGTTAATAGGTTGTAGCAAGGTAGAGAATAGTCTGGAAAGATGGATGAAAGGTCCAGGATGATCCTGCATCTGAGCTAAGAGTTGGAGTTGAATGCAGTTGGGATGGGAGGGGCAGACCTGTTAGCAGGTTGTTACTGGGCTGAGGAAAATGGAGAGATTGTAATGGAGAACAGGAAGGATGTTGTGACTCCCCTGCCTGAGTCCCTGTCTGGTGTCACTGATATTCCCAGGTAGAAAGTATTTCTGGGTATCTGGACCTAACTCAAAGGGTTGGGGATGAATTAGAAGGGAGGGCTTGAAGTGGTCCACAGGAAGAAGAAAAGCTGGGTCCACATCAGTGCTCTGCAGTTTCCAGGGGATGGAGACAGGGTGGAAGGACAGGCCCTTGCAAGCAGGCCACTACAGGGCTGGGAGTGAGACTGGAGACATTGTAATAGAGGACAAGAGGACAGGCTAGTTGTTCCCTCCATTTAGATTATTGCTTTCTTGACTAACCTATTGCCTACTCTAAAGTGAGATGGAGGGTGAGGTCTTACACTGCTTCAGTTAAAAATGTAGACCATGAGTTTATGTTTTCTTGTGCGTATCTTTTAAAATGTGGAGCATAAATGCTGCAAAGTTGAAGACTTTTTATGAAAGAGTAAATTAAAAATCCAGAACCTCCCTAAGAACCGTGTGTCAGAAATGTAGTTTGGGTGGATGGACTCAAGCGGTAGGGATGTGGCTTTACTCTGGGGACTGTGCATTTTCCCTTCACTTTCTGGTATTTCTCTTAGAGTAAGTGAAGAAAAGGAAGTGACAGAGGAGCGACTGAAAACTGAGCAGGAGTCCTTTGAGAAGAAGATCCGGCAGTTGGAAGAGCAGAATGAACTGATCATCAAAGAAAGGGAAGATATCCTTTTGAGGCTTACTTTCATTTTTGTGTTCAGCAAGTTTGGCTCTTGTGTGAAGAAACTGTAAACTCCAGAGAAATAATTGTTCTGATTTATAACAGGGAATAAATCTGCATGTGCTGCCTTTTCTAGGCAATCAGAAAGACACTTAGCAGCATGTGCTGTTGCTTCCTGTGTGCTTGATAAGGCCACCCAGCTGTTCTGCTGCTGTTACTACTCTGTGAAGCACAGATTTGTCAAGTAAAACAGACAATATGAAATTTGGGCTTTACCACAAAATGTTGGGTCTTCATTAAATTGCCCCACTGCTATAATGGGGCCTTAACTTCCCTCATATTTAGATTTCTTTCTAGGTAAAGATTAAACAGCTCAAAGGAATCCTATTCTGTTATAAATAATGGGATGAAAAAATTATCTAGAAACCAGAACAACTTATAGAATATATAGCTGTTGTTGATAAATGCTTACACTACAGTGTAAAACCAATAGGCAATAGTCATAAAGCAGAGAACTTTGCAGTTTAAAGTTGGAAGTGTGTGTGTGTGTGTGTGTGTGTGTGTACATATACCTATGTGCATTGTTTGTAAAAAAATAAACATATTTTTAAGATTTACTTTCCGTTTACATTATAAGTATGTGTGTGGGGCTTCGTGTGTGTGAGGGGAGGTACCCATGGAGGCTGGAGAAGGGGTTCCCCTGGAGCTGCAGTTACAGTTGTTTGTTAGGCCCCCCCCAATATTGCTCCAGTACAAATTTATTTAAATGTGAGGGTTTTACTTAGAGGGATATGTAAATTAAAGTCACCATACATATGGATTTGTTTCAGTTAGGTAGAATCACATGACATAGATCAAAGAGAGAGGCAGCTGTCCCTAAACAGAGAATGGTAGATCTTTGAATGCTTAAAAGAACCATTGTCCTTACTGGCAGTGTCATTACTAATTTGGTGGTTATTGTTTCGAAGATTCTGCAAGTGACAGACATACTCTCATATTGACAATAATCATGCATTTAAAAATATTAGAGAAATCTGATCATAAAGAAAAATTAGCTTAAAAACCATGAAACTGTAACTATAAAAAATGAGTTCTGAACTGGTTTTTCACATAGTGGAAGTATATAGGAGAAAATAAATACACTTAGAATTTTTACATTTGATTTGCAGAGTAGAACATTAATAAGACTTATTGACTCTACCATAGTAAATTTTAAATCTTTTTTCCATTCTCTTTCTCTGTGTGTGTTCTTCTGACTCTGTCTCTCTGTCTCTGTCTCTATGCCTCTGACTCTTTTTCTGTCTCTTTCTGACTCTGTCTCTGCTATCTGTCTGCTTCACCATCCCTCCCTGGATAATCATGTTGGACCTCTTCTGGCTTGTTTTGACTTCATTTTTTCCAAGAATGTCAGCCCTCAAGTCAGAGACCATGTTCTGCTGGTTTTCTCTCCATGTCAGAGAAATTCTTATTACACATTTTGGATAGCACTTTCAAAAAATGGTTTAGAAATCCAATGACATTTTCGTTTAAAGGGTCTGTTTTTCACATAATAAGAACTGGAGAGATATGGCCTCTTGTATTGATTTGTGGGTGTAAAGTTAGCAGTATAGGCTACAGTCCTAGCTTCTAATGGCTGCTCCCATTCAAAGGACCCCATTTGAATTAGGGTGTGAAGAAAGGGCAACTGTAAAGTACTCTCCATTTAAAAAGAAAATAAAAGAACTTTTCGGGATGTCCTCACACCCATCACCTGATAGTCTTTTATGATATTATTGATGTTATGTGGCTTTGGTACCACACAAAAGAATCTGAGAAAGTGAATCACACAGCTTGTCTGACTTGGACAGTTTTGCAAGCATTTAGGGAGGAGAGTGAAGTTAGCCTCCAACTCTGGTAGCAAAATTGGGGGATATAGAATTCACTTTCTATAGGAAGAATGGAAGAAATATTTTGACAAAAAGATGCATCAGCGTAAGTTGAGGGAAGACAGTAAGAGAGATTGGTATTAGAATATTTGAAAGATTGGATAGCCTGAGTAAGTCCTTGTTTCTTTGTATAGTGTTACACTTAAAAAACTTATGTAGCTTTCCAGGAAGGTAGCCTGGGATTTCAGTGGACAAGGACATTAATTCTCTGTGAAGAATGGTGTTTTTAGTGCTGAAGCTATATGCATTCATCATGCTCATGAAGGATTTCTTCTGGAAAGCAAAGTGTTAAGACAGCCTAGGGGTATTGAAGTGGTACAATATTTAGCGTTTCCCATCTTAGCCTAAGACACAGTCTGTTACTTCTGTAGCACATATCAAAAATGATGGCACTAAATCTAGCTGTGTCCCTTATGCATTGTCTGGCTACTTTTGTGCTCTAACTTCCACAAGTAGTTGCAACCAAGACCTTGGAATTCACTTAGTCTAAAATACTCATTATCTAACCCTCTACAGAATCAGGGAAGGACAGACATGAGATCATAGACTTAGAGTTGTTTATATACATTAAGCATTGTATTGGTGTAAGCATTTATTTTGAACTGTGAATGATTGAAGTAAGTGCTAGGCATTAGCAACAATTAAAAATGATTAGTTCATATAATCCCTTTCAGGCATTTTAAATCACAAATGGAAAGTCATGTTTAAAGAAGTTTGTTTTTAAAAAGGGAGAAAGAAATGATACAACAGTGATACTTGGGGTTTTTGTTACAAGTATATTGCACAGGTACAAATCTCCTAATAGAATAAACCTGTCAGAGGTTAATACAGATGACGTCACAGTACATAAAACTCTAAAACTTTGAGACATAAAATGAGCTTGTAATTTAAAACAATATAATTTTAACTACATATGCATTTACCTATCACACATGAATGGTTGAGACTTTTTCATCTATATGAAGTCAGGTAATCTCAATTCATTTTAAAGTTCATTTCTGTGTGTGGCACTATGCCAACAAATTGTAGTTTGGGGTATTTTTTAAAGTATGTTATACCAAATTAGTGTTTTTAAAGGACTAATAACTGATTAACTATACAGACCAATTCCTGGAAAGGAGACTTTTTTTACGTGTTAGCATAAGGATAGGGCAACATATACATTTCTTATTAAAACAAAGATCTTTGGTAATTTTCAGCCTTTGAACAAAGAAACATTATGCTTTAGGGCACCAGCAGTATAAATCAATATGCCATTTTCAATGCCACATGGTCTCTTGAACCTTATGGAACTTTGCCTGCCTAAGTGTGTGTGTGAAAGAAGAGAGCATCTGACACTCAAAGAGAAATTTAACCAACAGCTCTAATTCTGAAACATGTGTGCATGTGAATATTTTAAGTTTCACTGTATATATTAGTTAGAAAACTTAATATTTGAACTTATGTATTTCTAGAGAATGATTCAGACTGATGGTGTTAGTAAAAGCTTGTAGAAGGAATGTGAAATCTGATGCCTGGTAGCATCACTGTGAACTGAATTGTGAAAGCAGATGTCTGAAGCTCAGTGCATGTTAGAGTAAAGCACTCTTGTTTTCATTGACTGCATGAGAAGGTTACTGAATGATATTCTGTCACCACTCCCCCTGCCTGTGTGTGTGTGTGTGTTTGTATATGTGAGAGTGTGTGTTGCACACTTGCATGCGGTGCATTTGTCCATGCAGATTTGCTCATTTACATCGCCACAGGTAGAGATTAGGTGTTTTACTTAATCACTGTCCGCCTTTATTTTTGAAACAGAGTCTTTTACTGAATCTAGAACTAATTTTGGCTATACAAACTGGCCAGTGAGCTGAGGAATCTGCCTTTTTCCACCCACCCACCACTGGGATTATAGTACATGCTGTTGACAGGCATGCTAGAGATCTGAACTCAGGTTGTAATACCCAGTAAGTAAACACTTTACCAACTGAGCCACTTTCCCAGGACCTGTCACCCATAATCATAAAATTGCAGATTGAATTCAGTACTGCCGCTAATGTTGTACCACTGAGTCATATCTCCACCCTGAAAAGTTACCCTTTCCCAGGCTTTTTGGAATTTGAAAGGTTCTTTCTTTTATTATGTCTGTAAAGAATCTAACCAGGTTCTGTAGTAGACACTGACTAGAAGATGGCATTTCTCTTGTGAGCATGGAGGTGATGATTGTTTGTTTTGTTTTCCATTCCTGTGCCCCTTTCACTAGGATTTATTATATTATGGCTTTATTATATTATACAAGTGCTTGGGAGGCCCCTAATCTCCATGGAAGGGAGCTTGTGTCTTTTGGTTGCTCACTGAAGGAAACCAAACATTTTTGTTGTTAGTGTTTTTGGGGGAGAGTGTTTGTTTATTTGGCTTCTTTTTGCATTTCTGGGTCAGAAACTAAGCACTTTCCCATCTGTTTTTAAATTTTATTCTTTTAAATTTTATACATGTATATAATATATTGTACTCATATCAATTCCCTCATCTCCTTTAATTTCCCTTATGTTTCCAGGATGCATCTTGCTTGATGTTCTCTGTGTGTGTGATGTGTGTGTGTGTGTGTGTGTGTGTGTGTGTGTGTGTGTGTGTGAGAGAGAGAGAGAGAGAGAGAGTAAGAGAGAGAGAGATAGAGATTCAATCTGTTTAGTGCTGCCCATGTACACATGGGTATGTGGTTACCCACTGAGATATAGACAACAGTGGTCATCCCATAAATAAAATTGTCTCTCCCCCAGCTCCTCCCCCATCCACAGTGTAGTCATTCTCCCTCGCTGATGGATTTTTAACTGGTTTGTGCAGGTTTTGGGAAGGTAACCAAGGCTCCTGTGAGTTCATCTGTACAAATCCATGTTCTGTTCAAGGAACAGCATTTCAGAGCATTCCTCCTCAATTCTGCTCTTGTATTTTCCCTACCCACTCTTCCACTACGATCCCTGAACCTTGAATGTGAGGTTGATACAGAGCTGAGAACACTCTCACCTATTTTTGGTTATTTGAACAGCTGTGAGCACCCACATCAAGTGGCTCACAACACTTGTAACTCTAGCTTCAAGGGATCTGACTCCCTCCTCTGGCCTCCATGGGCCTTGCACACACATGCAAAAACTTATACATATAAATAAATAAAATGAATCTGTAAAGAAAATTACTATAGGCACTGTGTTGCTTGAAGCCATTTTGCTTGCTGCATGATGCTGTGTGAATCTGCTACATCTGGTGCCATAATGTTTTTGTATGTTGTCATGGGGGGTCATTGTAAGTTTGAATTAACAACAGACAGAATAATTCTTTCCGTTAATGTTGTGGGGAAATAATCCCACTTCAGGGGAAAAACTTGTTACTTTCATTATTTTCTAAACCATTCACTGCTGA